CATCCCCACCCCAACTAATATTTAATTATGATTAGATTATTAGAGATGGATAAAGATTAATTAGTTAAGACAGAAATTTGAAGTAGCTGTTTTGTGTTTGTTTTGTGTTTATGGATGCATTTATTTTGGAAGTATTAGCCAGACAAGCATATTGTGGATTGCTTTTTCATTTGTGGATTATGTTCGCATTTGTTGTAATGTCATTTTCCAATTTAAAATTGAATATTATTACCTCATATTTTGATTATTTACATCATATTTTAAAATCTGAATTTTTTACGCATCATATTTTAGACATTTAATAAATACTTCTTGAGACGAAAATGAGATTTATCGGGAACAGTTTTTCTATTATGTATTGTCAAGTAAAGGTAAATATCTGTGCACACCAACTTTTCCAAATCATATGAAATTTGAAATATCAACATAATATTTTTATATATTCTTTTTAAAAATAAAACTTTTCACTTATAATTTCTTTGATTTGAACTTTAGTGCTCGTTTAGTGCCATCTTTTGTTTGATTAATTAACATATTTGTTCAAAAGCATTTCATGAAATTCAGCCATACCATCCACAGTTTCTGCAGATTTAGTCATTTTAGTCAATTTTATAATTACCCTGATGAAAAAAACATTCAATTTGTAGCCCAAATCCCTTCAATTATGGATAATTACATTATTTATAACACCTTTCACCATGTGTCACTTTTGATTTTCACGCCACGAAAACTTTGGACAAACATTTTACTTTCCTCATCTTAGAATTATGTGTTTGAAATAAATATAGAGCAGAGAAAACATTGTGAATCATAAAAAAATTATTCTCTTTGTCTCAAAATTATTTGTTCCTATTTTAATTTACAATATTTGTTAGATATTATTTTAAATTTATATTATTTAATTACCATTGCAAATTTCAAAGTTAAAATTAGTATATACTCCGCATTTAAAAACGAAAAGGGGAACGAAGTATAAAATAAGAGGTAATGTAACTATTGTACTTTAATATATAAATAGTAAATGAGCAATACTCTTTCGTCTCAAAAGTATTTCTTGTTTTAATTTACAATGTTTCATCAAAATAATTCAAATTTATTTTTTTATTACTTAGTAAAAAGTTTAAAAATAAAATTTTTATATATAAAAAGTATATTTAATTATTTTAAAATAAGAGGTGACTTGACTATTTATTTAATAGAGAGTACATAATTAATGAATACATTATATTGTTTGATTTGACCTTATAAGAGCATTGGCAGTGGCGTGGCTGTGCCACTGCCACGCCTGCCACATAAGCAATTTAAGTAAAATGCCTCGCAAGGCTATACAGATTTACCATGCTTGGCAAGTAATGGGCGAGGCACAATATTCTTGTTTTCCTTTTTTTCTTTCCTCCATAAAATAAAAGATTTTTTAAAAGTAGTAGTAATTTTTTTGGAAAAAACCTAAGTAAATTCATTTTTAATACTCTGTAGTAAAAATAAGACATATGTAAAAAATGTAAAATTTAAAAAAAACGCAAATTTTTTTAAATAAGAAATATTTTTAAAAAGAGTATAGTTTATAAAAATATAAACAAAATAAATTTAAATAATTTAAGTAATTTTGAAATATTTTTTTTTTGAAAAAAAATATAAATAAAATAAATTTAAATAAATAAAAAATGCAAAAAAAGTAAAATTGAAAAAAACAATGACTTGCCACTGCATAACATTTCACTCCACTCTCATGTCACACGCTGACTGGACTGTTTTTTATATGTTGAAAGTTTCAATGTCATCGTGTGTCAGTTTATTTCTTACTTGTCATTGTAAATGCTCTAAATAGTACTCCATATAATATAACCTCCGTTTTAGAGTA